CTGATATTTGTTTATATTTTCATTTCATAACTGCTTTGCAAAGTATTACCAACAGCAGGATGCAGATTGACTGTAGTAAGTGTGAGGACTGTAACAGAGGATAAAGACAGGAAAATGTTTAATAAATTGCTGCATAGCTTATAATTTTGTAGACTGCTGTTATTAGCCCGCTGACCATGCAAGAATTTAGAAGCTGCTGGAACACAGGTGTCAGTGTCCATGGTCAAGTGTGTTTTATACCACTGTTCACTGAGAGGCTGATGTGCAGGAAGGAAGCCCTTCCTCCAGAAAAAGCGCCTTAAAGCTCAACGGAAGTTTGCTGCTGATCACATGGACAAAGAAAGGACTTTTTGGAGGAAAGCACTGTGGTCAGATGTAAAACAAAAAATAATAATTACCTATTTGGTCACAATGACCAGCAATATGTCTGCAGCAGAGAAGGTGAGGCCTTAAAACCCCAAAACATCAAACCATCTATTAAGCATGGTGGTGGCAGTATGATGCTGTGAAGCTGTTTTGCTGCCAGTGGAACTGATCAGTGGAACTTTACACTAAAAAAATGTAATAGTGAAGCAGAAGGATTACATTTATATCCTTTAAGTAAACTTAAAATCCTTTGCCAGAAGGTTTTGCCTTGGATGCAGCCAGGTGTTCCAACAAGATAATATACTCAAACACACATCACGTGAGGTAAAGAAATTGTTAAATCAGGCCAGAGATAAGGTTTTGAACTGGTCTCCTCAAAGTCCTGACTTAAATCGATCAAGAAGCTGTGGACTGTTCTGAAGAAACAAGTTAAAGGTAGGAAGCCGAACTTCAGTTTTACTGCTAAGATTCCGTCAAAAGGAGTGATCAAAGACACAACCCAAAGTTTCCAGAAGCTTGTGAATGCCTTCCAAAACCCCCTAATTGAGGTGAAGATGGCCAAGGGACATTAAACCCAATATTTCCATCCCTGTATGTATATTTTTCACTCAGCAGATTTTGTCACATTTACAGAACACCTAGAATACATCTATAAAAGAACCAAAATGCATCTTCGTTTTTGGGATTTTTCTTTTAAAAAAAACACGTCTCACTCTGGAATTCCCCTTTAATATTAATGTGTTGCTCATTGCTAACAATCCACAGAAGTATGAATGTGACTTCAGTAGCTTATCCTATTAGATGGCGGCATGTAAACGATACGAGGCTCATTCGTCTCCAGACTTTTATTCAGCACAACACTGCCTTAAAATCCTACAAGAGGCAGGAGCTCTGGGATGTTGGACTACACAGACAGTTTTATTGCTAATTTTGGACTCATCCCAGAGATCTCTAGAACACCAGAAGCTGCACACTCTTCCCAGCCGGGTGGGAGTGCTCGCAGATGGTGTCGAGACCGTAAAAAAAGGTGGGGTACACATGGAGGGCTATGAGCTAAGCTAAAGGTTACACCGCATTGACTACCCTTTTCCTTGCTAATGTCCAGTCTCTGGCAAACAAAATGGGCGTACTCTGACTCTGCATCTCCAACAATAAATGGTTTTTGGACTCTAACATCATTATTTTGACAGAAACATGGTTAAACAGCAGTTTTCTGTACAGAGTTATTAAGCACACAGGACGCGACGCTCACCATACAGAAAGGACTGCGGAGGCTTCAGTAAAACCAGAGGCAGAAGTTTGTGTATTTGTATAAACAAAGCTTGGTGCACACACTCCGCTATCGCCAAGAGACACTGTTCACCTAATGTGGAGTTTCTCATTGTTAAATGTAGACCTTATTATCTCACAAGAGAATTCACATACAGTAAGTTGTCACTACAGCTGTATACAGACCAACTTTCTTTGTTAGTGAAGCACTCTTCACTCATTCAGTGTGTAAAGCCCATAGTTAACCTTTTCCCACCAAGAAGAACCAGGTGCGAGTACATTGCTGGTGATAGTGCCATTGCTTGGCTGGTTAAAATTTTGCACCTCCTAAGAACCTGTTTGCTTTTCTATTGGCAAGGAGCCAAGTTAGAGCCACACCATACATCACTGCATATGTAGCTGTTTACCGAACAATGCTTGCGCCGTGTGGAAGTCCACACAGGGCTCCAGACGAACTTTTTCACTGATGCGAACAACTTTCTCATTTGGTTGCACTTCCCACCTTGTCACAGACAAAACATATGACTTGAACATTTTCTTATCAACAAACACTACAATTTATCGATGTTCCCCGAACACCCCACATTGCAGGCTGCAGTAGCTGCTGGTGGTGACTGCGACCAAAAATGACTTTAAAAAGAGTAAACTAGGCTGTTCTAATGTCAGGTTTATCCAAGATGAAACTGAGTGATTGTTTTTTCTGATGCAGTCTTTCCTATGAGTGGATCAAACAGCGCATGTAGATGCGCTGCATTTTTCAAGAAAAGACTGCATTTCTAAGTGCAAGTACATCGACGTTATAAAAGTACTGTTTCCCACCACTGTGGTGCTGCTGGTGGGACACAGTTGTACCGGACTTCAGCGCACAGCAGCTTGTGCATAACTTTCGTGTGACCCAGGACTCATTCCAATACATCTGTGATCGGACCAAGGATGTCATGGCAAAAAACGACACAAATTACCGCTTGTGTGTCCCATTCTGTGTTTCCGTCTGTCTCGTTGGTCACGATAACCCAGCCCCTGACATACTCGATTCTTAGCTCTGGCTCAGCAAAGAGTTTTGAGGGTCTGTTTTGAGAACCTGGAGCCAGTGCTTTGTGGTGGAAACACAAAGAACTAGTGCTGAATCAGGCTCTGGCTCCAAACTGGAACTGGAACCAGCTTGGTGGAAAAGGGATAAGTGAGGACCATAAAAGTGTGGCAAGAGGAGACAGACTTGGTGCTGCAGGACTGGTTCAAACACATAGACTGGAATATGTTTGCCACTCGTGCAACCTGTCACTCCCACAGACTTTGAGAGTAACACTTCCTCTGTACTGGACTACATCTCCACCACTATAGAGAGCATCACCACCAAGGAACAGATTACCATGTACCCAAATCAGAAGCCATAGATGAGCAGGGATATCTGCATCCTTTTGAAGGCCCGCAAGACCACCTTCAGATCAGGGGATGCACAAGCCTACAGTACAGCCAGGGTTGTCCTCAAACAAGGCATCAAGAAGACCACGCACCTCTACAGAAGGAAGGTTGAGGAAAACTTCTCCAGCTCAAACCCTCAACATATGTGGCAAGGCATTCAGGTCATTAGTGACTACAAACCTATCAACCCTTCCTCCATCCTCTGATATTTCCATTCTCAATGAGCTCAACGACTTCTACACTTGCATTTAGAAGGACAACCAGGATCCTGCAACCAGGGCAGAGCTGACTGCTGATCACCAACTCCTAACATTCTCCCCCACTGATGTCAGAGCAGTGCTGAGCAGGATCAATGTACGCAAAGCTGCAGGACCTGATGGCATCCCTAGACGTGCTGGGAAGCCTGACGGACTTATTCAATCTCAAGCTGTTGTGCCAATCTGCTTCAAGACCACCTCCATTGTGCCAGTACCAAAACACTCTACTCCAACCTGCCTCAACAACTACTACCAAGTAGCCCTCACCCCCATTATTACTAAGTGCTTTAAGTGGCTGGTTCTGGCACACTTCAAATCCTGCCTTACCATCTGAAAAGAGCACCTTGAGGAACTCCTTCTCCCGGTAACCTTAGGTCAAGGGTTGATGATTGACTTCATCGTCATATCATCAGTCCTGTGGCCATATGTTTTGGGCACTCATGTGAAGAGAGGAGTAGAGCTGTCAACTGAGCACCACCTGGGGGTAAGTTGGATCCAACGGCAGGGAAGGCTGCCCGACAGACCTGGTAAACCCAAACACGTAGTGACGGTGAACTGTCAACGTCTGGCGGAGGCTCCTGTTTGTGGGGTTTTCAATTCCCACCTCCGGAAGAGTTTCTCCTGCATTCTGCGGAAGGTAGGGGACATGGAGTAGGTGTGGACCATGTTCAAAGACTCCATTGCAGAAGCGGCCATTAGGAGCTGTGGCCAGAAGGTGATTGGTGCCTGTCGTGGCGGCAACTCCAAAACCCGCAAGTGGACACCAGCAGTGAGGGTATGGAGGAGGACTTTCGGTTGGCCTTGAGGAGGTTCTGGCAAATCGTTTGACGCCTCAGAAAGGGGAGGCAGGGATTTGCCCAGGCTGTGTACAGTCGGGGAGGAGAACTGCTGACCCAGACTGGGGACCTTGTGGGGCAGTGGAAGGAGCACTTGAGGAACAGTAACGCATTTACCCTTACAGAGCTGCTGGGAAGGTCATGCAAGTTCAACCAGCTAGCATCCACATGTGTTTTGTCCATTTTGGAAAAGGATTAAGACGATGTCCTTCAAGGGGCCTTGTGGTGTGTACTGTGGGGTGGGAGTGTGGGGTA